GGAATTTCTTATTTGTGATTTACCAAAAAGCCACTGATGCATTGATCTGAAGGGCCGCAATGCAACTGCATCATCAAGGTGAGAATCAATTATACCAGTTTATAACAATAAAGTTGGGGCCAAAAAATAAGCTTGGTGCATTTTTACATTTCACTGTATAAATGGTTTGCCTGGTCACATTTGTGTTCAGGCCCATATCCTATATTTGTCTTCTATTTTGTTTTTCCCTGAGGTCCACTTATGACATTCGTGTGTTCATGTATCAAAAAACAGCTGTAATACATTTCTTCATGACCTCTGTCCAACCTTGTTTTATCCCTTGAATGATGTTCTTGCTACTTGTGCCTTTTAGACTGATATACACTATATATCCAAATGTTTGCGGACACCTTCTCATCTATTGTTTCCTCTGAAATCAAGTATCTATCCACCCGTTGCTACAGAAAAAGCCTCTACTCTTTTGAGAAGGCTTTATACAAGATGTAGAAACATTGCTGTACGTATTTGACTGCATTCAGCCACAAGAGCATCAAAGAGGTCAGGTCCTGATGTTGGATGATTAGTTCTGGATCACTTCATCTCATATCAAAGGTATTGGATGGAGCTCCATCACTCCAGGCAACGTAGTTTCACTGCCTAACAGTCCAGTGTTAGGGGCCTTTGCACCCCTCTAGTCGACGCTTGGCTTTGGACATAGTGACTTAACCCCTTAATATCCCAGGCTTATACATACTAAGGGTTATTATTTAGTAATTACAGAGATTTCAATGCAAACTTGCTGAGCTATTCCTAAGTTATAGACGTGTGTAATAAAACTGGGCTCAGCAGAGGACCCCAGCCATTTAGGAGGTTAAGCTCATGCATGGCTTCTCCAGAATGCCATTCTATTGGCTAATGCCTTTCTATGGAGATTACACAAGCTGTGTGTGTTGTTGTATGGATGTGTCAGCAACGGGTGCACCTTAAAGTAGCTGAATTCACTAATTAGAAGGGGGGTCTGGAAACTTTGGGATACACAGTGTACCTAAATGATCTTTGCTGTGATTGGTCGCCCTGTATTGTGCCTCATTTAAAAGGCACTTTGGGATGAAACACTCCTTATAACATGAATGGGTGGGGCTGCGGGCTGTAGGCCGAATAGGTGGATATATACAAATGACATCACTAACACAAAGGTTGTTTCTGCAGTTTAATTTGCATATAGACTGTGGAGTGAATGGTGCATTTGCTCACATACAACATCAACATCAAACAGAAAAATGAATTTAAAAAGAATGACACTATATTTAAACTGTAATTCTAAATTGTACCAAAACAACTCAATTGAATCGATTCATGAATGCATTGAATCATTTCCTAAAGAATCATATTTTAACTCAATCATTATGATGTCTTTTCCTACCACACCTATTCATCTGATCCACAGCTTTGTGCGAGCCTGACAAGGTGGAGGAGCTTAACCTGTTGAGGATCTCAGCGAAGTCTGAAAGCCTCGTCTGTCAGGCATTGTCAGGAGATTCAGTCAATCTCCACAGCATGTTTGTTTAGTAAGCAGAGTCAAATGGCTGTTAAGAGACTGCTTTAGTAAACAGGCACTCCCTTAAGACCCCCAGTGACACGAGTTAATCCTGCCCTCTGTGACACACGATGCTGAGGATGGGCGAGCATAAACTCACTTAAACTTTAAGTCACATAAACACTATGGCATGCATGAGCTTGTCTTGTTCAATACGGTACTGCTGAGATAAAATGCAGCCTGCACAAACCTGTCTTCATTAGTTTCATACGTTTATTGTCGTGACAGCACCCTCAAACCTTTCCATGGTCAACAGCCGAGACACAGGTGCTGAAAATAGAAGACACCCGAAACGTTTTCTCAACGCAATACTTAACGTGTAATTGCAGCCAACTAAATGAACACCAAAGATGGTATCTAAGTGCAAGTCTAGTATGACTCAAGCATCACCTACAATGAGCAGTAGGCAGGCTGGCGGATACAGTGGTCAGATCAAGTGGGGAAATGGCCCAGACATCTTTAGCCTTTTATACAGATCTCCAAACAATGAGATTCACCCACACGGCTGAGAAAGAGTCAGTGTTGGTAGACCTCTCTCACTTCCTCCAAAACACCCTACATACATTACATAGTCTAAGCTGCAGGAAGTGCGGCTTTACAAGGTATGTCCTGAGTAGGGGGGGAAATTACAAATGTGCAACATAAGATGATGCAAGCTACTATTTAGGTCATCCTACATCATCGACAGCTTCAGTCAACGTGAAAATGCCTTTAGGATGCACTCAAACGCTGCATCTGACACCGAGATGACAAAGCTCATGCATAGTAGAAATCTAGCCCTGACAAAACCTAAAAGGTTCTAGAGGCCTATTTAAAAAACAAAGTTGTCTTGCAACGTCTCACTGGGCCCTTTTTGGCTGGGAAGTCGGCACACTCGTGGGAGTTTGGAGAGACTATGTTGTGTATTCTTGTCGTTTGCGCCAGGCCACTAATGACAGGGAGCCGACCACAGCAGGCCTCTCATGCCCAGGGTGGTATACCATGAACAAACCCATGTATCCACACCATGAGCAACTCACACCTCCAGCTCCTGAGCCTTCCTGTGGTCAGGGTGGTCGCTATGAAAAGACATTCAAGAAGTTGTAAGATGTTGCGAATGTCAGAGACCACCCTTCATTTACTTCTAGTCAAAATGGCCATTAAGTACTAGTTATTCATTTTTCTGTGTAAGGACAAAAGGCAGAAAACATATTTGTTAAAAGTTACACTGAACCATCAACAACTAAATGTAGTAGCAGATCGTTCAGCATTTATTGTGTCCACACTTTGCCTTTATACCAGCGTCCATTCTTTTCAAGGGACTTGCTTTCAGTTTTAATAGAAATCTGCAGGGATATTTTTCCACACCTCCAAAATTCAGTCTTAGAATTTGGTTGCATTTTTCTGCCTCAATGCCTCGTCGGCCTAGTTCCAGTGTTCTAGAGCAAATGTTCTTCGTTTTTGTCTGTTTCCTTTTCCTGTTAATGGCTTCTTGACAGCTACACATCCTTTCAGACCCATAGCGTTCTCACAGTGGAAGCATGGACAGAAACACCTGTGGATTTTTTCAGATGTGAAGTAAGAGTGGAGCTTGATTTTCTCCTCCCTCTCAAACAAGAAAGCTTTACTGTTTTTCTGATAGTGACCATTTCGGTGGTCTACCAGGTGTTGCATGGTTATTAGCAGTCCCAATATCTCTGTCGCTTTTAGTCATTTTTGAACTCAAGTTAGAAGGAAATGTCTGTTTTTTCACTAATTTTCACTTTTGGTATAGGTATCAGGAAAAGAAGTGGTATTGTGCCATCTCTAGTTCTATACAGTACCATCGCTGAACCATTTCTGAAGGATTTTAAAGATACAACAGGTTCATTAGTATGAAGATAAAAAATAATATTAATAATGATAATACATGCTAAGAGATAATACAATAGCAAATTACAACTATGTAGAGAACTGCATAAATAAAACAATACACATTAAAAGAACCAATTTATGAACTGCAAGGAGCCATTTGAGCACACAAATGGTTCTTTGAGTTGTCATAGTTCTATATATAAACACTGCCTTAATTAAAGAACCCTTGAACAACCCTTTTAATAAAGTGTAAGAGGACACTGAAACCAAATTCCTTGCTGTTCATAATAGGTAATGTACTAACACAAGATTTGATCACAACATTGCAAAGTCCACTCTGTAACACTGCAAACCTCCACAAGCCCATACAAGGCATTTGTATAGTAGAGTACAGTAGCTTAGTAACTCTTGGAGTACAGTCAGCACGGAGCCTGTGGCTGAAGAGAGAGGAGTCCCCTTGGTTTTAAAAGGAATGCAAACAAAACACACACACACATACAACATACACATTAACCTGAGCAGGAAACGCAAGCAGTGAGCGTAGCTCTCCTCTGCTTTACACCTGACCCAAGCACTACAGTCAACAGCATAAGCTCACATAAGTGCAAAGTTCATTACCTCTCTCACAATCACACCCACACACAGAAACAAGCAACCTGAGATTACTGTACCTTCATGCCAGGCAGCCAATCCCTCTTTCTATTTGGTGTGTTGTTTATGCACAAATGGAACTATTGTGTCGCTCTTCTCTTTATACTTCAAGGTTTAAACCATCAAACAAATTGAGAAGAAAAGCCTTAAAGGGCCAGTGTTTCCTCTCTTTTTTTGAAATAAGTTTGATGTAGCATGTAAACAGTTTCAAAATGTGCCACTTACTCAGTTCATAGTGTTTAAACGCAAACTAAGTCACAAAAGCAGGTTGTTTTGAATGCACTATTTTTGTGATGTCACAAACCAGTGCACTTACATTGCACCTGCATACATATATATATATATACACATATATATATACATACATATATATATATATATATATATATATCAGTTTTTGTCATAAATTGAAAATGCCTGGTACCCTTTACATTGCATGTAAATTTCATGATGAATGGACAAAAAGAAATGACCTAAAATTACTTGGAAAAATGTTTGGTTCCATTGACTTACATTAAAAGTAAAGTAGTTTTTTCCCTTCTCCTGTAAAGTTATCATTTTTGAGATAGAAGGTTTTCTTCTGACAACAGCGAGATGTGTATATATATATATATATATATATATATATATATATATATATATATATATATATATATATATATATATATATTTCCAAACTTCTCCTCAAGGTAACCTATCTGTATCATCCGATACCTGGATTTAGCAACTCTGTCAGTAAAATGAATCATGACTATCCACACAAATGATGTAAACGATAAAAATATAAGCCTATAAAATTCAAGAAAAATGTAGGCTCTTGGCCATTTCGAAACATGGTCAATATATAAGAAGCTTTTTATTTTGGAAGTGGGCAGCTGTTTATAAGAAGCCTAACAGACACTTATGCTCCTCACTGACCATGCTCTTTGAAATAACCCACCTCTGCGTTGAAGCCATCTCCATCTCCAAGAGTTTGCGTCCCACCAAGCAAGAGCACCAGAAGCGAGGGTACGAGGGTCCATCTCCACAGCATGGTGAGCCAGTCGTCCCAGGACCATGCCATCTTCAACCTCAGCCAGTGGTTCAGCACCTCCAAATGTTCAGTTTTCAAGCAAGGCAGCAAACTTCAAAGCACCAGATCACCAGCAGCCGGCACTCTTCAGCGTCCTCCGGTGTGGGACTGTCTCATTGCTCAGTCCTCGCGCGCGTCCTGCCCTCGGAGGCTCTTCTATCCATGCGAGCTGTCACTCACAATGATTCAGCGCCCGCTCGCAATAGGTCGTAGTCAAAGTTGCGAGGGGTTGTACCAAAACTCAGCGAGGTCCAAGTTTGCTCGCTGTTGGGTATCATAGCCGGCGGGTGTGTCCACGCTGTGTTTATGACTCCCCCCTCCACCCCCACCCCCCGCCTCACGAAAGGCGCGCGGAGGGCCAACGAGCGACAGCCTACTCTCGTCCAAACGGACCACGCGATTTGCAATCGCAAACGAAGTTACGCCACAGCGATGAGCGACATATTATGAACCGCGAAAGGAGCTCACGCGCTCGCGCAGCACAACGCACTCGAAGTGCTTTCAAAAGCGTGCTCGCGCTTCCAGCTGACATCAGCCGCGCTCCCTTCACGGCCGGATCGACTGACCACAGCTGCTCACGCGCCTCGGGTTTCCCTGTGACCCTTTTCTTGCCCGTTTAGAAGTCACGCTTTCCTTCCTAGCTTGCGGCTCGCGCCTCGCGCCTGAGGTCCTCTTGCAGCGCGCGGCAGCGGGAATGACAGCCTGGGCTTCCCGGCTCCTCTCACGAGCTTGTGCGTAAAAGTAGCGCTCGCTCCGCTCCCAGCACCCCTGTCACAAAGCCGTGGAGCAGGAGGAGAAGGAGGAGGGGCAGGGAGCGGATGTAGGTCAGGAAAATAACCCGACCACCCCCCACCACTCTGCTCAGACCTCGCTCGTATAGCTTCTCCTGACATTTCGCTTCAGCTGAGTTCAACTCAATCCACTTCAATACAGTTTAAAGGGGAATTTAACCGATTTTTCAAAATTTTTAAAAGTTACGATGGCAACACAGTTATTCGGAGTGGTTTGATGTGAAATAGTTAATTGTAGAGAAACGTACACTCATTTATTTACAGTGGTGGTGATAGAAATCAGGGGTCAGGATGTCCACAGCACAAATATAGCCATTTTATTTACTATCCAAAACCACCAGTGAACCTACATGTGTCTTCCTAGCTTTTACTAGCAATGTAATATTGATAATGGTAAAATAGTCATAAATCTGACAAAAAAAATTTTCTTTGGGGACTGTTTTGCCGTGGAGCACCCTGCATGTACCCCTCCACCATGAACGGAATAAGTGGATAAATAAGACGGTTTAGACTAAAACTTGATTACTAAACTGCCATAAAATGCTCTCTCAGGCGTCAGGCACCGTATTGATAACCATTTTATGTGTAATAACATTTTGGTGTAGCTTTCAAAGGCATTAAACTCTTCAGACGTCTGGTTCCTGTCACCACCACTGTGAAAAATTCTGACTCGGTAAGTTTCTCTAGAATTGAGCATTTCACACCAAACCACTGTGAATGACTTCAAATCATTTCATAATCACACTTTATTAGGTGAATTTTTTTAAAAAATTGTGGAGTTCCCCTTTAATTGCACAGTAATCAATGCAGTTGAAAGTGATCCCTATACAGTGCCCCACATAGCAGCTTTACAGGTCAGGTTCAGAGCCTTATAAACAAACCAACAGTTCAACTGTGTCCAAATTTCAATGGTTAAGATTCAAACAAAGTCATTTCGAGTGGTTTGATGTGAAACACTCTGTTCTAAAGAAACGTACAGAGTCAGAATTGTTGACACTGGTGGTGATAGGAACCAGACGTCTGAAGCGCTTAATGCCTCTAAAAGCTCCTCTGGCAGCGTATTCAAATTCAAAGGCAAATTTTAATTGTGCTAATTCAATTGTGTATTTACAATTGCATGTCCACTGAGTGGCTGTGAGTCCTTTAGACGTTTCATTTTCATTGTCTTAATGGTCTGACTCTGACATTAAAAACGGAAAAACAATCGCCCGTTTGCAACTGCATTTCCTCATCTTGGCGCTTCAGCTCTGCCAAAATGAAAATGCAATCGCAATCTTGATTTTCACTGTCAATGAGGCTTCCTGTCAATCAAACACTGTGGGTAGGAAATCGGGAGGGATTTTTTAGAGCTGACTGCTGAGTCTAAACTTTGCTGGCATTGGTGCTGAGCTAGATGTTTATTTAATGCAATATGGAGCTAGCAGTAGCAACTGCTGCTACACTCGCTAACCACAAAAAGTAATGTCCAAAGTGATTTTCCTGTGGAAGTGATCAACTAGAAGAGCTTGTGGTTGGACATATACCAATGTTAGTGACATAGTGACCGGAGGCTTGCAGGACTGTCAGAGGAACACTGCCCTCTGTATTTTAGTGCTTTCACTGCTTTAACACACCCTATACTGCTTTAACATATAAATAGTCAAGGGCTGCTGATGAGCTGGACATGGTTTTCCATAATCATCTTATTGATAAGTAAGGAAGCACTGTGCTAACCCACAGTGACCCTGTGCCTCCTCAATAAGAATGTCTTTGGCTGTCCAGCTCCTCCGACAGTTCTGCGAGCCTCTAACAAAAGGCGGTGTTACATCCAATTCATTTCCTCTGCAAATTCATGTTTCCACTGATAAATCATGGTTGCGGGAGTGCACAGTCATGCAGCACTGAAACAATGGAAAAAGCGAAATAGGTCAAAAAGTTATAAGCCTCAATTTAATAGTCCAATTTACACCTTTCTTGAACCTTTTTACTTTCTGTAGTTGCAGTGTTATTTAGACGAACGTGAATTTGAGGGGGAACTATAATTGGATGGAGCACCAGTGTGTAGGATGTATAAAAGATACCTTACCTGATTCCACACGATTCTACCTGATTCATTATTTTACTGTAGTAACAATAATGTAACTTTAAATGTGGGTTTAGGTGACACTGCCTGCCTCTGATAGCTTATTAGTTGTGGAAATGGAAACAGGATGGCAAAGACATGTCTTACATATCTTGACTGGTCATTTTGGATGCTAAATAAAATATATCTGTTTTGTAGGCATGTTGACCCCTGATTGCTATCATCACCACTGTAAAGAAGTCTGTAGATTTCTCTACAATGCACCATTTCACCACTTTGAATGACTTGTTTAGCTGTCACTGATTGAACTATGCCAAAATTTTCAAAAATCAGTAGAAGTCCCCTTGAAGTGGCAGGAAATATCCCATAAGAGCGTGAGGAAGAAATACTGAGCCATTTTGAGCTTATTATATGAAGTGGTAGGGCAGTAACTAGGTAAATTTGCATTTTAATATATAATTACAGTAAAGTAATTATATATTAAAGTAAAGTACTTTCCTGCATGTTTTTTTGTTGGTCACAGCATCTATACTGCTTTTTGATGGGTCACACCTCTGACTTTTGAGGTTTATCATTTTATTTTAGACCAAAAAGATCCCAAGAATAGCACCTAATAGCCCCTGTGCTGGTAGATGGTGGATGCACTGCATGTGCTAAGAAGATCCACTGCAGATCTATATATTACTTAGTATGTAAGCAGTTTTATGATCCACTATAATTTGTACTTGTACTCAAGCTGTGTTTTGGAAAGATACCTTTATTATTTCACTGTAGTAACAATAGTGTTACTTTGAATGTAGGTTTAGGCGACACTACCTGCCTATGATAACGTATTAGATGTGGAAACGGAAACAGGATGGAAGGGACAAACTCAGACTTTGTTAGTAGTTGTGAAAAAGAAAAAGAAGAAAAGCTTAACAAACATATCAGTTAAACGATCACTTTGGGTTCCTGTTGGTGACAGAAGGAAAGATGATGGTTTCACAGAAACAGGCTTAAGGAGTAATTTGAGAATAGCTGTGCTGGGTTTTAGCTGTGCAGGTGAGGAGAGCACTCAGACTGTTTACAGAGATTTGTGAAAACAGGAGATGAGTGTGTTGAGAGAATGAGAGGAGCTTAATGGATGTCAGTATGAATGTGTCAAGTCTTTAACAAATACTGACCCAAAGACAAACACACATAAACACACACGTGCAAACACACACACACACAATAGTGCAGGTATGTTTTTGTGCAATATATATATATATATATATATATATATATATATAGTATATATATATATATATATACACGCACATATATATATATTAATATATATATTATATATATATATATATATATATATATATATATATATATATATATATATATATCAAATGTGTATTATATAGTATATATGTATATGTAAATATGGTTTCTAGGCCTAAACCTAACCCTAAAATGATTTTGTTCTTTCGGTTTTATGAAATAAAATAAGGAGTTGGTCCTGATAATATAGGTTAGCCTTAAAAGAACATTTAAACACACACACACAATTTTCTCTTCCTATCTTTGTGCTGTATTTCCACTGATTTCTCTGTAACTCTGCCTATATCTAACAAATGCCTCGCCTTAACCTCAGGAATGAAAAGTTTTCTTTAAGAAATATTCCCTGCAGGGAGGTCAATTCAGGAAGGTCCTCAACAGTTCAGTGAACACTTTAGTACACTCACCCACACACACACTCATACTCTCACACACACACACGCACACACACACACACACACACACACTCACACTCTCACACACACACACGCACACACACACTCACACTCTCACACACACACATGCACACGCACACACGCACACACACACAATGACCATACAGCAAATAAACTGTTGCATGCTTTCAGTGATCAAAGAACAAGACCAACAGTGTAATTCTGGTCATTCATTAACTCAGACCTGTTCACCGATTCTACATAAGTTATGGAGAGTAAGGTGTTATTCTCAGTAGATCAAACCAAATTATTCTACCAAACTGCAGACTGAGCATTTATTTTTAAATGTCTAGAAAAAAATCATCTCTCCTCTGACTGAAGTTTTTTGTGAATCAGTGCTTCACAAGACATAAACCTGCATGCTCACGAACAGTTTACATTCAAGCAAAAGAAAATGAACTTGCATAACAATATAATTCTGAAAACTATATATATATATATATATGTTCATTTTGACTGTATATAGTGCCCGGCTCCCTGTATTTCTTCTTTTTGTGCATATTTGTCGACAATTGTTTCAGATGTTCCAACAAAGTGTAAGAAAAAGACACCCTGACTAAACACAGGATTCTTTCATTTACAGAAGGAAAATTATTATCCAACACCACCTGACCCTGAAAAAGTAATTGCCCCCTCAGTCAAGCAGTTAATCAATTTAGTTGATAATTGGTATCAATTAAACTGGACACACCCAGGCTTAATTACTGCCATCCTTGTTGAATCTAC